TTGTTGTTTTAAACTATTTGATTCATCCCCAAACTAAATAACCAAATAGCTATGCAACTCCTGGAGGAAAGAGCACACTGTTAGAGAGCATATTTAGTAGAGCAAGTGAATCAAAAAACTGCCAACAAGTTAACCAACAGAATCCAGGTATTTTTCTACCATTTGCAAATTGAGAGWCAGAATCTCTCAGAGTAGCTAATGATGCTATAGAAAAGACTTTCATAATTAAAAAACAAGAGCAGCTTCCAGAATTTCCTCTTCCCTTTTTTTTTTAAACACATTTCTGTGAAAGACATAAACTAACACTGAAATTCCAGTGCAGCTCAATCTTGATTTTATTTTGGGACGTATTCTACGTAAACCTGAATCTTCCTAACATGCAAGAAAGTCTGAAGGAATAAAAAAGTAAATTAATTTAGAGCATTTCTGTTGTCAGAGCTGGCAGCCGATTACTAAAAGGGCTATATGCAAATCTCAATTCCATGCTTTACTCATTCCCCTAATACCCCAGGGACTAGTGTGTTGGGAAAGCATGGAGCAAAGACACATTGTCCTAGATATTGTTGTTTCCTAAAATTGTTAACTGGACACATTTTTGTGGGTTAATAAACTCTCCTATTTTCTGATGCTCGCATTCAATTGCAAAAGCAGCTGAGAAGGGAAAAAACACAAGGAAAGACTGGAATAAAAGCCAAGAAAGCCTTCTGTGGAAGTGTAGGTGTTTGGACATGATAGCCTTTTGGCAACTTCAGCTGTTGTGTATTTTTTTTTCTTTGGTAGGTGTTTAAAGAAAAGCAATTACCTCTGTGATGACACTTAACATGCCAAGATTCAGCCTCAAGCAATTTTTTTATGGCTGTGCTATAAACTGCAGAAACTCCCRAGTACACAGGATCCACTGAAAGATGCTTCGCTGCAGCCGTCCTGACAGGAAAGCTGTGGTTACACTGGCATGTGAAAATTCTTGAAAAAAGACACATAAGCAAGCAAAAAAACCATGGTTTAAGGGGGCGAAATTGCCACACCACTAGTTGGAGAGGTATAATAAATGAGCTGATATTCTTTGCCTATTCAGAGCTTTTCTTTAAATTTCTGTGCAGATTTTGTCCCCCTGCGAGTCAGTTTCTTTGAAAAACAAAGGTGACCTTTGCCAAGGAGCTTGGAGGAGCAAGGGGTCTGCTGACACTGTTGCAAGGGCTTGTGCTTTGAGGTGCACAGACCCCACGTTGACGTGATTGCTCACGCTTCCCATCTCCCCAACCTGCATCCAGGACACCTGGCACCTCCGAGACAATACAGCAGCTCTAGCAAAGCCAAACCCAAATTATATTATCAACTAAGAGTCTTTTGGAAAAAAGAAATCACACATGGTTTGTGCTTCCTTGGCTCCAGAGACATCTGGGATGCACAGCCAAGGGGACACCTATTCCAGCAGCCAGGATGGGACCTCTTGTAGGATGGGACAACCCAGACAGAGCCCAGTTCCAACCACCACTGCACTCAGGGGACTACTGGTGCTTCCAGGGGGGCCTTAGCAAAGCTGTAGGCATAGAGATGGAGTCACAGGGTAAAYTAGGCAAAATTCAGAGTTAAACACCATCAGATCATGAGGTAGCTTCCTTGATTATGGATATGAATTTTTTTGCATTAATGAATTAACAGTTATAATAGCTCAAGAGAAAGGTATTGGAAAGCAAGCAAATGTGGGAGATAATGTGTAGAAGAGCAGAACCTTCGTGTAAAATGAGGATTAAAATAAGAATTCCTCCATCTGTTCGGTCATGACCCTGACTTCTCTTTGAATGTCCCCTGCGTGTCTTGATCAATATTTTCCCTGGTATTTCAGTAATCGTAAACTGTCATTCTAAGAACYCACAAGTTACAACACCAAATAATGTTTTCAGATATGCTTGTGTTGTTTATTTTAAGGATATGTCTAAATGTATCCTTCTAATTGCCTCATGGAAAAACAAGTTTACTTTATGGTTTGAGGGTGTAAGGCTGGGTATCATGTTACTCCTGTATTTGTATAAGAGTGACTATTCAAATGGTTGTGATAAGCTCTAAGCCTGAAGAGTTGCAATTAGATGTTTCCAGAAGCCTGTGCCCTGTCAGTCAGCACAAGGTGCTACAGATTTCATAAAAACACTGCACTGACCTACATGGAATTTCCCAGAATGAAAACAGTATTTGTTAAAATAACGTCTTTTCCCTGAGGAACAAACTGCTAGTTTCTTTAGGGCTCTTTGGGGGTCTTAAACTCAATTTTAATAATTTTTTTCTTTTTAAAAGAGAAAAGTGTTGAAATGACATATATTTTAAAAAGTCACAAATAATATGTTTAAATATCTATCACTAAATTTATGTCAAATCCACATTTTACAAGGAGAAAACATTCAATGCAGTAAATAAGTATCTAGACCTCGACTAGTTCTGTTGTTAAAAGAAATGCAAAATCCCAAGTGAAAACTCACTTTCAGCATTTCCAGAATTTAAAGTAGAAAGAACTAGATCTCTTCTTTAAATCAGTCTGCTTTGTGGAGATATTCTCCCAGCRATATAAAGACACTTATTCAAATTTGAAAAAAAAAAATAGGAAGCTCATTTTGGCATTTGCTATAAAGTCATTATACAGGTGATTAACCCATTAATTTTCAAATGTGTGCGTTGTCAAACATGACAAAACAAACGAGAGGAGGATAAAAGCAAAGTTACCAATTACGATGCTATATGGAGGAGCCAGCCCAGATATAAGTGACAGACCTTTCCTCTCCCTTTAGGTTAATACTGTTTAAATTGCACCCAGCAATTTGCCACATATGATGCAAGYTAAATGCCACTCCTGCAGACTCTGTGGAGGATTCTGCTGGCGCAAAGCACTTACAAGCGGCAAGACTGAAKCAACCAACTTCAATTGAAATGGATATTTGACTGGATATTGCRTTTCCTTTAACTTAAAATGCAAATTGCACCTAACTTAGATCTAGCTTTGGATGTGGGAAATGTGATTCAAAAGTCATTCAATCAAGGCAGGGAAGTTAAAGTTCCACAGCTTAGTTTCTGTTTCAACCACTGATTTATAAAACTAAGGTTAGACAATAATCTCTTTATGCCCTTGCCTTTGTGTTAACCAGCTTTTAATTTAAGTCTGAATATTTTAAGGAATGGTTTGAGATTTCAGCAGCAAAGACTCTTCTGTGCAATTGCTATAAATGTATGTATGGAGAGGCATGTATATACACTTAAAAAAATTGTTTGGGATTAGCTCTCCGGGGTTTGGATGTTATTGTTTGATGAAGATATAAATTGAATATAAGGAGAATGTAATATAAAGAGTTTGTTTGGAGGTAACCAAAGAAACCCTGGCACTAGTCATCTTTTAACTCATCAGCTTTCCTGAACACAGATTTATCACCAAATATCATCAACAAATCAAACCATCAAATATCATCAACAAATATTTTCAGAAAGGAGCAAATGATTTTCAAGACATCAGAGATTCCAGAACACATTACTACAGACGCCTRGAGTAAATTCTAAGGATAAAAAAAAAATACTGGCATCAGCTTCCCATGTCCTTCTATAAATGTGGCGTAAAAAATCCCACCATGGTGTTTTTCCCATTTAGTTGGTGATCAGAAATTTTCAGATCTTGTTTTACTAGTCCAAAAACATCAGTGGAAAAACAGACTATAAACAGATTCTAGAAACTATAAACATTTTCTCTTATGCTATTACTAATACCTACATTCAAGAAAACAATAATTTGTAGATCAATTTTATTCCCTTTCAGAATTGTTTCCTCATTCCAAGCTAGTCACTTAGTGTGGCCAATGGAAGCAAATAAAGTTACTGGCATTTATATACTATTTTTTTTCCTGATGCTGCAGAATTTGGGAGGTGGAGCTGGATTTTAATTATGCAAGATATTTTCTTTAATTGGATGACTAAATATCCCCCTGTTTATACTTTCCTATATTCTTGATTTTGAAAAAGAAAGCTGCACGTTTGTCTTGAACAAGCCCATAGAAATCCATTTAACAAAACTGCTCGATGTTTATGCTTCCCTAAGGACTGCACAGAGCTACTAGGAGAATACACATGTGAAGGAGGATCTGTCTCTCAGATCTTATGCTGGGTGATGTTTTTGCTGAATCAAGCCCAGGACAGTGTTTCAAGCCAGTGCTGAGGCAATAGAGGTGGCAGGGAGACAGCTGGTTCCCTGGCCATRGGCTGCTTGGAAGAGATCCTAAGAGCAATGGAAATGGGTTGAAAGAGTTGAAACTGTTCTTCACACCATTATAGGTGTCCTACAGGTATATATCCAAGCTGTGGAGGACCAGCAATAACCTGCCTCTGCACACAGGACCATGCTCTGGTCACAGATGCTTTTCCAGCATGTTCCTTAACTCTGGGACACAGGATTGAGGAAGGAAGACTAAACACTTTACACAAGCATTATTTCATGAAGACATTGACAGTCTTCCTGCAATCCACATACTGTCTACACTAGACAAAACTACCACAACAAAACCAAGAATGAGCTAGTTGACTTCTTTTGGACCCTTGGACCATTGCTCTGCTGCAACAACACCTGTGCTCGACTCAGACCCCAGTGGGAAGTCTGAAGGTCAAGGAGACCCATGCCTTGAGAATTGCTCTGCCCTCCTGTGCAGCACACAGAAGCTGCTTTCCTTGGCATTCACCACACTGAAAGAAAACTCTTCATTTTGGTACAAATTGATCTACTGAGCAAAAGYCTTCACTCATTGCCTGCAATGTGCAATCTGATTTTACACATTGGCCTTTCTGCTAGTAGAACAAGACATGAACCACCAACGTTATACATGTAATAGAAAGCTGCTCAGAAGAAAAGCCTGTAGTGTTTCCCAGAAGGCATCAGAAACTCTCATATTTATAGCATATAATCTGCCTTTTACATTATCCACTTTGAATTCTACCACACCAATAACAACTCTAATCACACCATTAGCAATTACCTCCAAGGTTTCCTCCCAGTTTCTCTTTATTACTAGCAGGTAGACGTTCACAGCAAGGGATTTTTCCCTCTTTTCCTGTAATTATGCATATAAATTAACATTAATCTATCTGAAACATACCAAAGAAATAAAAATCTTACTGAATAAACTAAAAAAATATAGGTTGGTGTATTTACACAGAGAAGAAAACGGTATAGCTTAGAGCACAAGTGGAGGTATTAAAGAAACAAAGGGTACTTTATCTCCTGGTGTCATCTACACAACTACAGGGATATTTTGCAAATTTAGCTAGTACTGATCATGCTTCAGTAGATCTGGTGGGAATTGTGGAGCCTACAAAGCCCTCATTAACCTATTAGACCTTGAGTTGATTAGGCCATTTCTAATTGAAATGGGGTGATGTCATAACTAGGGTGGCTTTGTTGGACCTACACCGATGACAGAGAAGCGAAGCCAATATTAACACTGGYGAAAATTCCCCAAAGCAGACTGAGGCCTGGCTGAACTGTTCTGATTGGTGTTAGCTTGAGCTTTATCCCATTGCAACCTAGAAAACTGTTAAAATAATTTTAATATGATTTTCTTGGCATACATTATTCTGGCTTTTGCTGGATTGTAAAGAGAAGCAGCCCTCCTCCCTCACCCTTTCCTCCTCCCCCGTGCTGAATGTGRCTCTGGAATCCAAAGCGATGCAGATCCAAGCGTTGCCCAGACTGCAATCTCTTGTGGGCCAAATGAAAGTTCATTACTCAGATACTCCCGTGTGTTGGAGCTCTGGTTGCTATCTAAGTCCCTGTGTTGTGGCTGGGAACCATCTGGAGTCGATCAAATGAAATAAAATCTTTATTAACTGAACCTTAACTACCCAGAGATCCCCATTATCATGGGGAAACACCCTGACATTGGAAAAAGATCTTTGCTTGGGACAAGTCTTTTTTTTCCCTTTTTTTCCCCCCTACGCTCCTTCACCATTATCACTAATGGCAAATCATGGCTGAACCAATTCCTTACACACCAGAATATTTTGAAACACACTGTAAGTAGCACAGCTGCAAAAGCTGACCCATGCTAAGCCATTGGTAGGATCACAGTTCAGCTACAAAACTAATCTTTAAACACTGGGTCCATCTCTGAGTAGTGATCTGTACCACTATTAGCATCGCATTGAAAAAAGCAGTTCAAAATAAAATGCTGATTTGACTGYGGAGCCACTGTGATTTTTGAAAATGAGGAACTACTGCTCATAAAACTTTCCAATGGAATAAACTGGCATTGCACATGCACAAGAAAATATAGAGTTTTAATAAAAAGCACACCAAATCTGATGCAGTCTCTTACATGAGGCAAAGAACCATATACAAGACTGCTGTGATCTGAGGGCAAACCTGCTCTGAAAGTGGTGCCTTCCTCCAAACTCTGCTTCCAAGCAGCAAGCTTGAGTCAGACTTAGATTTTTTTTTTTTTTAATTTTAGAGATTATAAACTTAGTTCTTTATAACCTATTTTTAGGTGCCTAGATGAAGGTAACACATTTGAAGGAGGGTTATTCTTCAAATCAAAAACATTTGAATGTAAGGAAATAATGAAGAAAATAACTGAAGGCAGTTATGAAAACCACATAGTTTAGGACATTCTAAGTAGGTTAAATGCACACCAATAAATGAATAAGAAAAGGCAACACTAGGCTAAAAAGGAATGCAACGTAAACTGGAAGAAATAGTGGAACTTCTCACCTTAGATTTCTGCGAAGCTGAGCAAGTTAACCTGTAAAATAAATGCTGCATGAGTTTAATTTGATCATTAGCTAAATGAATGTATTCTGCATCTACTGTATTCTAAATTATKATTTTCTTTGATTATTACAGACAACTTTCTATGCATTGCATATGTATACATACTTAAATAAAAATTGTTGCCTTCCTCTAATAGAGTTAAAGCCGATATAATCTATGGAGGAATTAGGAGCATCCAAACAAGTTTCCCTCTCATGCATAAGATTCTAGCAGCGTGATGAAATTTTGTGCAGAACTAATATCACCTCGAAATGCAATCAGAGTTAACCGTGAACCCGGTGAGAGAATCCTGGAGATAATTAAATAAGGGAAGGGAAAAATACGGGCAACCTTGGCGGGCGAGCAGGAATCCGGAGAAGAGAGCACTCACCCTCACATCCACCCTGCGCGCTGGGCAAAAACTGCAACTGCCGGGAATGCTTCGTGCAAGCTGGGTTTAAAAGCCCGCCTGAGCTTTATAGCTCTTGCAGGATGCTGCGGGGATCCGCACGTGTTTGGCATCAGCGCGCTGCGAGCCGCGGGGCGCGGAGGCTCGCGGAGCGCACGGGGCGCAGCTGCCCGCGCTCACCTGCGGCAGCGGAGCCCGGGGTCCCCCCCGGCGGGGACACGGAGCCCCGTCCCCTTAGGAGAATCTCTCACCTCAGCAGTCCTGCAAAAATGAGGCAGAAATAGGCAGCCTCAAAACCGTGCTACCAGATTCCCGCACAAATCTTTATTGCACCAAGCAGATATTTTTAAACAAACCTCCTCAATCGCCGCTAAATGTTATCTTCTGAAAAAAAAAAAAAAACCGCAATTGATATAAATTTAAGTTTTATTTAAAGACATGTTGCCTTGGAAGTAAAGAAATCACACCCAAAGATCTTCCTTATCCGCGCGCTCTCCTCGATGAGTGTGCAGCAAATTTAAGCCTGCAACTCATGTGGTTTATTTATTGGATAATCAAAAAGAGATGGGCAACTACGGGAGACAAACAMACAGTGCAATAACAAAGCTGCGATCGCTCGGACGATTTGGGRTGTATTTGAAAAATAAAAATGTGAAGCAAAGAGAGAAAAATAAGACAGTAGATACTTCAGTTCGAGAATTGCATTGAGCGTGAGATGTATCTCGGTACTGCGAATGTATGGCACAAGTAGTTTTATATATATAAGAATATATATAATATACATTTACATAAGTTTTTCTGAGGGATTCCCGTATGAGAACGGAGCATTTAATTTCTTTGCCATTCCCTCTGTGTTTCCTAGATCGGTGGAGGGAAACGGGCAGAGTAGCCAAAATGAATGTATATTAAAGCTGACAAATAAAAGTCAAATATCCATATAAAAATAAACTCAACAGCTTGTTTACAGCGTGGAGATGGGTGTGCCTAGGCAGACTCTGGGAGTAATTGCACGGTCGAGACTAAAAACATCGAGCTTTTAGTCTGCAACTCTCCACGCGCTTTCCCGCTCTGGAGTGGGTCCTTTTGCTATAGTCACAACAACGATGAGCAGAGAGGTGTGTCCAGTACTTAAAATTCACTGCAGCGAGTCAGATGGAAACCGTTTGAGAGTGGGAAGGTAGAGCCTGGAAAGCGATTTTGAGGTCATAGATCGTCATTTTCTAGACCTCTTTCACTCTTAGGGGAAAAAAAAAAGAACAGAAATACATATATACATACATAAAAAGAGAGGTTGGTGCCGCTGACGGGAATTGAGCGGCTGCTGCCCGCGGACGCGCAGCGGGGCAGAGGCTGCGAACCGACTGGAGCTCCTACCCTTGCACACAGCCCGAGCCAATCCCAAAAGACGCTGCTATTTTGCCCACGTATTTTTTTCGATCTTCTGCTTGAGACATCCTGCTGGGATAGCTCGAGATTGTCCCAGATCCGAGCAGAGAGGCACTAGCAGGTGTCCAAACTTTTCCTCCCCCCAGGACTCGATCCTGCGCTCTCTGGGAGCTGAGGCAGTTGCATAGGAGCGTTGGCAATAAGGGCAACATGGTCCGGCCCCGGCTGCCAGGACAGAGTGGGACCTTGAGGGGGTCCAAAGCAGCCTGAGGCTTCTTCCCTCGTTGCAAAAGGCAAAGCACTGGCAGACAATTTCTCCTTATTTCTTCGGAGCGCCGGCCGTGCATCGACTTCGAAAACAAAGTTGCCATTCGATCCTTTTGATCGTGGGTTTTCTGCATGTAAATACAACCTCTTAAACAGCGCTTTCCTCCCCGAAGCTTTCCCATGTGTTTATTTAAAAAGTGATTATCTCGTGACGGGGAGAAAATTCGTTTTTAGTCCTTAAGGGCAAAACTGTTAACTGCTTTGAGCAAGGAGACATCTGATCTCTCACAACTATCCCCTGCCTCTTGCCAAACAGAAAACAAATATCTGATCGCAAATGAAATACCTGCATGGAGAGAGGGAGAGAACAACCCTCGGCGGATGGGAAAGGAGACGCTCCGTATTATGCAATAACCACGGTTCATTATACATGGACTGTCTTAACGAGTGGATGACACCAACGCGATAAATAGAGACCATTGTCGGGTGACACAGAGGACAATTATAACGCGTGACTGCACTTGTTGCCGATTTCCAGCATCGGATATATTGCAATTTTGCTGCAGCGCACTCACCTTCCCAGGGCAGCGGGGCTGGCAGCGCGGAGCGCCGTGTGCCGCGCACCGGGAGCCGCGTGTCCCGCCGGCTCACGGCGGGCCGGGCTCGGGGGATGCGCCCGGCAACGCTGTCCCCGCGAGCTGGCTCGCATGCCGCAGAAACCGAGCCCAAAAGACTCAGGAAGATGATTTAGACCGAAGAGTCGGTAACCAGAACTCATCCCTCGGAAACTCTTGATATACATTTATATTTAATTTCTTTCTTGTGTCTGGAGATAAAGCATAGTATGCGTTATTACGACGCCCTTTTCTTGGCTCCAGGTCTCATCAGAAGCAAGKCGATGAGACAAAGATCTCCCAGCGTCTGGCACATCAAATGCTACCTCGGTGTGCGCTTCGTTTAGAGGCAAATCGCACACCGCGATTCCATTTTTTCCCCCTGCCTTTCTTTTCAGTCGAACTGGGAGCCTTTTCTTTCTTAGAGTAATTGAGGACGGAGGGTTAAAAAAATAAAATAAAATAAAATAAAATAAAATAAAATAAAATAAAATAAAATAAAATAAAATAAAATAAAATAAAATAAAATAAAATAAAATAAAATAAAATAAAATAAAATAAAAKAGAAAAAAAGAGGAAAAGGGCAAAAAGAAAAAAAAATACTATCTTTAGAGTATGGCTTATTAACTAAATCTATCATGAAAGGGAGGAGAGATACTTGCAGGTTTTTCCCTCCCGGAGAACAAGCGCTCTCCCCCTGCCCGTGCGCCTTCCCCCCTCTGGGTACCCTACAGGACACTCGCGCTGCTTGACGTGGACTCGAGGTGCAAGGTACCGTTCGTGTCATGATCTGAATGGGCTCCCTCCTGATCTACGCCAGCAAAGGGATCGCGAGGAGCCCCACCGAAGGAACTGGAGACCCTCTTCAAGCATCATCTCTTATAGACTAATTATTCTCGGCCACCTCGTAGCGCGAATGGGGCTCGCGGCCCGAGGTGTGTAAGACTCAGGATGCGGAGGATGCTGCTTTTCGGCCTCTCTTGGCCACTCGCAGTCGGGGGGAAGTCGAGGTGGGGGCTGACGAGGCCAATGTGGGCTGAGGGGCAGCCCGGGGGAGCGAGGGAGGCGAGAGGCGGAGCTGCTCGGGACGGGCCGTCGCTGCTGCTGCTGCTGGAGCCGGTCAAACTGCACAGCCACTTCCCCCAGGAGCTTCTCTTTCATCTCCCCGCTCCTGGCGCCTGCAAAACAGCCTCGGTTTGTCTGCAACGTCTCTCCTCCCCCTGCCCGCCCTCCCCTTCGCGCCGCAGCCCGGAGCCCCAGCACCGGGGAGCGCGGAGCCCGGCCCCGCTGCCGGGGCTGCTGCTGCTGCAGGCGGGGGAGGTGGGGGCACAGCGGGGCCAGGGGCTTTCTGGGCATCCCCGGGAGCCTCCTCCATCCCGCGCTGGCGGCGATTCCTGCCCCGCCGGATCCCACCTGTCTCTGGTCTCAAGCGCAGTCCCCAGCCCCAGCAAAGCTGCCGCCAAACTGTCCCCTCTCTTCCCGTCTCGTTTTTTTTTTTTTTTTTTTTTTTTTTTTCTGAGGGAAGCTTGGAAATGAAGGGGACATGTGTGGAGCAGGGAACGACAGAGTCCTGACTGCCCTCCCCGGGAGCTCTCCTCGGGTACTCGAGACGAGAGGGAGGAAAGCACAGGGGAAACCACGGGGGAAATCCAAGACTCACGTCGGTCCCCGGGGCCGAGAGCTTCCGCACACCKCTGAGGCTGGGGAGTCGCTCTCGATTCTCTTCGAGGGGAATAAATCTTAAGCCCTTGAGACTTTTCCAAAGCCCAGCTCGGCGAGGTTTCCATTCGGGCATTCAGTGCCGTACGGGGCTTCGCTCTCCTTTTTTTAACTGACAGGAGGAGGATGAAGGAGGGGAGGGGTGAGGGAGGAGAGAAACCTCCAAGTTAGGACTTTAGACTGAAAATGTTCAACYTCGCCGTGGGCTTACGCCGAAAAAAGGCAACTGCCATGAGCGTGTCCTGCTACGCTTTGCTATCGCCAGCGCCTGCATGGCATCTACGCCAGCCCAGCCAGGCTGGACGAGACAGTTTCTGCTCTTGGATGATCCTAGTACTGAAGGGAAAAGAAATGTCCACTGGTCTCTCTCCTTTCTCTCCAATGAAGGCGGCTCAGAGTAACCCCCTCAAGCTCATGGGGATGGTGTGAGAGCCTGTGCACCCAGGCCAGACAGCAGAGGAGAGGAGCTGCACCCAAGGGACGTGACTCCCGGAACAGTGTCACCATGACCTGCCCTCCTGCAAGCTCKCCTTCCCTCGGCGCCCTTCCAACGGGCATTGACTTTGGGCGCGCTGTATAATTATCTGTAGCATTTTCAGCAGCCCCACAATGGGCTTCCACGGGCGGTGCATTGTTCTTGACACACACGCATTGTTCCCGGGTGTCCATCAATTCTCATTTACTTGTCACGGTGCAGGAAGCATGGAGAAGGGAAGGGAAGGGAGGTGGGGGGAGAAGGGAGACCAGCTCGGCCGAGCTGCAGCCGCGGGTTGCAAGGCCGTGGCCGGGATGTTTTGCGTCGCTTCTCCTCGCGAGGCTCTCCCAGGGAAGAGAGAAAATTTCCATGGAAAGAGAAGTAATGAAGTGGGGCTACTTCAGGCAAGAGCTGCCAGAGAAGCTTCAGATTGTTGGAATAACTCTTATTATCAGCCCCGGAGAAAATTTGCCTGAAACATTGCAGGTTTCCTCAGCAGGCACAAAAGGCATTGCCTTTCTCTGCAGAAGTCTCCCGGCCTTTAATCTTTAACCCATCGAGGGACACTTCTAGCAATAAATAAAGAGCGTGCAAACCCTACCATTAGCCCTCCTGGTTAGCGGTGTTTTGTAATCTGTCTGCTCCAAAGTCTTCCTTTCCCATCTCCTCAYTCTGCAATTGCCGGACTTCATTTTGGTGCCTGTTTTGTGCCCTGGCCCCAAACTAGGGGCTGGTGGGACTGGGGTGTCTCAGACACTAGTGGGTTGGCCCTGGGGTGAAGGATAAAGAGATCTGCCAGGGGCTGAGAGAGAAGACCTGGAAGCAGGTAGGAAAGCTCCCTGGCCTGGAGCTTCAGCCTGAAAAAAGACCCTGAAGAAAATCTCTGTTGGTTGGTCTGACTTTTCTCTCCASAATCAGCCCCCAAAGTGCCCTCCAGGAAGGGGTATAAACACACAAGTTACAGGCRACCTTCTATTTGCTGGAGCAGGGAATTCCAACTGCAGCATCCAAAGTGAGCAGACCAGCCAGTGAAAGCATGGACATTTTGCAGAACAGATTTAAACAAAACTGTGCAGGGAACAAAGTTGTGCAGCTTGCCCAGGCGGAGGCCACAGCTCTGCCTGGGCCTCCCCTGGAGTCAGCGCATGGGCCAAGTYGCGTTAGCAGACCCAGATCAGGGAAGATGGATTGCCACATTTCCAGTATATATTTATATACATATATGTATGTATATAAATTGTATTTCTATATAAATAGGGATATATAAAAATATAGTCACAAATAAAACCAAAAATGCACCCAAACTCCATGTTTCCTGGATGTTATAAAGTCAGGGAAGAGGACAAAACAAACACACAAACAAACAAAAACACAGTGAAAGTTGTGGGCACATCATTAACTTACATCCGTCATAGGATTAAAGTAAATATAAAAAAGAACAATATATATTTACTTTTATCCGCTCAGTAATTAGAAAAGCTTTTAAAGAGATATTCTTTATTCATGCGACTGGTAGGAAGTCAAAAAGTGGGAGAATTGCTTTCGCAGCACGCATTTGATATACCTGTTAATTAAGGGCTGTGTGTCCCTAATTTATTAAAGCTCATCTGCTCTTCACGTGTGTAATTGACGCTAGAAAAAGAAAATAATAATTACAGATCTAAACTTCGCAGGATGAATTTGCCTGAACTGGGTCCTGCTGCGGCCGGAACGCGAACAAAACGCCTTTTTGGAGAGAAAAGGCGCCGAGGGGGCCACGCTCTCGCCTTTCTCCACGAGGGCGGCTCGCTGGGCGAGGGGTCCGCTTCCGCAACACCCCCCTCAAAAATATAAAATAAAATAAATGGAAAGAAAGAAAATAAAAAGGGGGTAAAACACCTCGTTTCTCCGGGACCAGGAGGGGTCCGAGCAGCGCCCGGGGGTCGGCGGGGCCGGGCGCCGTAGGGGTCCGACGGGGCGGCGGGGCGCGGCGAGGCCGGGGGCCCGGGAGGAGCCGGGCAGGCGGCGGGAGGCGGTGGAGCCGCGATCCTCTGAAGTTTCCTCTTCACCTAATCATCAGCTTTAATTACCCGGCGGCTTTTTTCTTGCTTTGCTATGATTATAGCCCTGGACGGCTCCTTAATGGCCCAGCTCCGCTCGCTGCCCGTGTCATTAACTCCTAATTTATTTCGGAGGGTACAGCAGTGGGGGAGGGGGAAAACACCCCAAACAGAATAACACTCCCCCCTCCCAAAAAAAAAAGGGGGGAAAAAATAAAGAGGAGAAAAAAAAAAAAAGAAAAGAAAAAGAAAAATTCCCCCRAAGTTTCTACCCACCCACCCGCTCCCGAGCCAATGGCATGACTCACCCCTCGACGTCAGGCCCCAGCACGAGCTCTGATTGGCCCGCGGGGCGTTTACTCCGCTTCCCAAAGGAGGAAAGAGCCGGGGAGCCCCCGGAGGGGGAGAAAAGGGGGGCGGGCAGGGCCGGGCAGCGCTCACTCGCGCAGTCCCCGCGCAGGGCCGGGCACAGGCGCAGGACAGCGCTCACTCGCGCAGTCCCCGCGCAGGGCCGGGCACAGGCGCAGGGCAGCTCCCGCCAGCTCCGCGAGCGGCCCCGCTCCAGCCCCGCTCCGCACCCGCGATGGCTTCTCCTGCCAAGGCGAAGGAGGTTTTCTCCTCCGACGAGGAGGGTCCGGCGGCCAGCGCCGAGGAGCACCACAAAGTCAAGGTGTCCAGCTTGCCGTTCAGCGTGGAAGCCCTCATGTCCGACAAGAAACCCCCCAAAGAGCTGCCGCCGGCCGCGGCGGGGGGCAGCGCCGACGGGGCGGCCGTGGGCACCTCCCGGAACCTGCTGCTGCCGGGACACGGCTCCCGCGACGCGCACAGCCCCCCCGGGGGGCTTACAAAACCTTTCGACACTTCCTCGGTCAAATCGGAGAACTCGGAGGACGGCACGGCCTGGATTCAAGAGGGCGGCAGATACTCGCCTCCGCCAAGTGAGTGGCCGGCGAAGCGGCGCCGGGCGCCCCGCGGGGCGGCGGGGGCGGCGGGGGCGGCGCGGGGCCCGTTCCCGGGAGCGAGGACAGTTTACGGGCTGCTCCGGGGCGACCACTTTACAGCAGCACGCTGCGTATATATACGCTTGTATACATAATTTTTTTTTATGAGCGCACAAATTTATATCAGTATAGCAATRTGTTCTTCGTATATGTTCACGTAGGCTACATATATATGTGTTTCATATATATGTATATACCTCTACATATTTAATATATTTGCTTTTAAAACGACACAACAATCCGGAGCCAACACCGATTAGCTCTAGCTCCGTTTCTCTATGCACATTACGCTGACACCAGTTCAGCAACCCCGTCAGGGTTACAAAGGCAACTGTAGGTTCTTCTTGATGCTTTTTCCCTGATATAAAATGCACGAAACAACTCTTTTCTCTCTCTCTTTCTGATTTTTTTTTCCTTATAAACTTTTCTCTTTTAAAAAACGTGGTTTTTCCCTTCCCGCTTTGCGCACTCTTTGCGCGCTGACTCCCGCCGTGCTTCCTCCCGGCTGGGTGGTTTTTGCTTTCTCGTCCTTTGAGCGCAGACTGTCAAAATTCTCCGAGCTGGGTCTGGCTCTCTGTCCTCCTGCCATCTCTCCTCAGCCCGTACGCTTTTTAAAATTTCCCTTGTCTGACCTGCGCTGTTGTGTCTGTGCTAGAGATTTGAACTGCCTTTCGCTCTTACCTTTTTAGTTTTGATGAGGTTTTTAATTATTTTTTTAAGCACTTTCCAAAAGTACTTTAAGGAATAGGTGAAAAGACAYAGTGCGATAGTATCTAGAATCCCTGCTTTCCCCATAGCCAAGAGCCTTGGCTAATAAACACCTGTACTGGCAGATAGATTCTRCTTTCTTCCACATAACTCTGGCTTGCCTGATGAAAATCAAATATTGTGCTTCAGCAGAGCTGTTGGCTTTATGTTCGTGAGCTGATCAGCTGAGCGGTCTGACGGAATTTTCCTTTTAATCTGCAAAAGCGAGAAGGAAGTTCAGTGTTTTCCAGTTCTTCCATTTCTGTGACTTTTTTTTTCTTCCTATTTGGCTTTCAGCCGCTTCCCTTCCGTTGCGATCAGCCCGAATTAATTTGATTTCTAACGTGCCGGGATAGAGCCGCTGACAGGGGATGGGGCGATTGGCCAGGAGGAAGGACAAGGCGTCTCTCTCATTACTTCCAGGTTTTGCTTTCTTCATGTACCGTCAAACACACTTGAGCTCCGACCGAGGCCTGCTCCCTTTCTAACACTGCCCTAAAAAAAAAAAAAAAATGGACGAGGCCTAATTATCTCCGCGATACGTTTCTCTTCGAAATTCCTTTGCTTTCTCAATTAAAATCACCAGTCGTTGAGAACTGGAAAACAGCTTTTGAAGGGACCTCAAAGGCCGAGGAGTGCAGAGAGGCAGAGATTTCAGCGGGGCCGCGGGGAGAGCAGTGATGTAGATAAAGGAGAGGGAGTCTAGTCCGGGAAGGTCTCTTGGATCTTCCTTGCTCATCTTCCCGAATTTCCCACCTCCATCCAGCTCTGGGCCCTGCCAGAGCAGTCCTGAAAGAAGGAGGAACCTGAGGTTTTTCTGCAGGAAGTCCCATCTTGGAGGGTTTTCACATTACAAGTAGCTCCTCGTATTACTATTACTATTACTATTACTATTACTATTACTATTACTATTACTATTACTATTACTATTACTATTACTATTACTATTATTGCAGGTAGGATGAGCTAGGGAAAGAGCTCTAGATATTAGATTTTGAACAACATGGAGAGGAAATAGTCTCCATGTCACCAGTCTCCTGGTGCCCGAAGTTAGTGAGAAAGTGCTGGGGGGGAGCAGGGAAACAAATCACCCCATCGAGCGCTTGAGGACTGGCACAGGGTAAACATAGTTACAGGGATCTGCTGTGGCGACGGTCCTTGTTTCTTATCAGAGCTTGGTAGTCACTGGGGGGACCGGGGAGAAAGTCGAGAGGAGAAGGCCATAACGTTTGGGAGTATTCTGGAGGGAAAAAAAAAATAAAAGAAAAATAGAGAAGAAGAAGGAAAACCAAGAAAGCTAAGAAGATGGTTTGGGAATTAATTTTAAAAACAACTCCTTGCAGTTTTCCCGACGCGTAGCAAACGTCGCTCCGGGTTGGGCTGGCGGAGCCGCCGAGACTGCGCGGGTCGCCGCCGAGCCCCGGGGACATTCGCGTTAGGAGAAACAGCGGGGGTCGTGACAGAGAAGAGACCGGCGCAGAAAATCCCGGTCGAGAGGAGCTCTAGGACGAAACGAAACACCCCGATTAGCAGATTAAAAGATCCCTTGCCATCGTAAGGCGGCAATTGGCAAGTAGTTTTCTGAGACGGATTTATTTTTCACGTCTAGTAGCTAGAACAAGAATAAGAATAAGAAAAAAAATCTTTTTTTTYYCCTGATGTGTAATCTTCTCTTTAGATCATTCTGAATTCTTGAACTTTTTTCTTGATTTTTTTCTTTAATTGCATAATATTCTCTTAAACTGCTCCCTGTTTTTTTTCCTAAAAAAATCACGAAAAGTCGAAGCGGCATGAAAGAATAATGTGCAAATACTGATAAGGGTGTAAACCAGACACTAAAGTAGGTGCAAAATTTAACAGCTTCGAGCAGCCTTTTGTGTGATCTTCGGTATCAAACAGACACAACAAACCAGGATGGTTTGTTGCATGCATCGGCATTGGTCTGAAATGCAGCTAGATTTCTCACCTTTTCGACTCAGCTGCAAGCATTTTAATAATTCTTCAGAACAGAGAATTATCAGTGAAATATAAGATGGATGTGAAGACAAGTCAGTGACGTCCTGTCTTGGGAAAATGTACCTAACCTGCTTGGGATTTTAAAGTAAACACAAAAATTAGCAGATTTCCTGACTTGTATTGGCTACATTGAAAACTAGAAAATACAATAACATTTAAATGTTGGATGAAAAGTGTGGTGCTTTCTCTTTCCATACTTGTTAAAAAACAAAAATTTCTTCCTGGAAAAAAAAAATGTTATTAAGGGAAAATCTACTCTTAATTTCTGGAGGGAGAGAAGTAGCAATTCAAATGCCCAGTTATCAAAACCACAAAAAATTATCTGACCCAGTTCTTTAAATGACAGGAAAAACTCTCACGGGGCAGTTCTGATTTGTTGTACTTGGGTGAGAAATCCTGGAGCAGGGATGGAACCGGCTTTTTTCCTATGCCGTTCTCCTTTTTGTGAACACCCTCTTTCTGTTAGTGTATTTGTCCTATATTTTCCAGAGGTTATTCCCTAAATATTGTGGCTATTAAAATAGCTGTTTTGGGTGTTTTATGATACGAATCTTAAAATAATTATTCTGGATATCCTCGTGACTTTTTTTGCCTACAGATTTCACAGAGCCTGTGAAATCTKGTCCGTCTCAAACTGAGGATTCATTTCTCAGGATGTGTATAAGCATCGATTTGACCAGGAAGAGATTTCAAGTGCCATTTGCAAAAAGCATAGACTTTTTGGAGGGTATCAATTCACATACACCTCGGCAGCCCTCTCAAATGCCACACATCTCCTGAACAACCAAATGTGTCTCCTTTTGTGCTAACTGGCCTTTCCTTTCCTTGCAGGACACCTGAGCCCCACTGCCTGCACCCTGAGGAAGCACAAGACGAACAGGAAGCCCCGAACCCCCTTCACCACCTCGCAGCTGCTGGCCCTGGAGCGCAAGTTCCGCCAGAAGCAGTACCTGTCCATCGCCGAGAGAGCCGAGTTCTCCAGCTCCCTCAACCTCACAGAGACCCAGGTCAAAATCTGGTTCCAGAATCGGAGGGCCAAGGCCAAGAGACTGCAGGAGGCCGAGCTGGAGAAGCTCAAAATGGCAGCGAAGCCCATGTTGCCTTCGGGGTTCAGTCTCCCTTTCCCCATCAACTCTCCCATCCAGGCCGCCTCACTGTATGGAACATCCTATCCTTTTCACAGACCTGTGCTTCCCATTCCGCCCGTTGGACTCTATGCTACTCCTGTCGGATATAGCATGTACCACTTATCCTAAGAAGATCAGAAAGACAAAGCGACAGTGAGAAAGACTTCCTGGTGGATCTTGTCCAGCCCCGAGAAGGCAGTACCCCAACCAGGACTGGCAATTCTTTCTGCACGCTTTTATCTGCCATCCCAAGTGTACAGGAGTTTGCATTAGCAAAGCAAGGCATCCTGTACGCTACAGGTTGGGTGTGTTCTGACAGTGCTCTGAGCACTCAGTGTCTGATCCTCAAAGAAAAAAAAAAAAAAAGTAAAAACAAAATACAGAAAAAAAAAACTTGAGCAAATGTAGGGTTTTTATACAGCGCACGTAAAACTAGAATAAAAAGAAATGGGTGAGCAAACAATCTTGTTTCAAGGAGGTAGAGATTTYCTGATCTCTTCTTGATGGGTTTCAACACAAGTTTAAAACAACATACCCTAAACATACGCTCTGAAATCTCATCACTCTGATATGGGGGGGGGAGGGAAATAAAAAGGTATAATCACTTTTTTTTTTTTTAAGAAAGCAGAGTTCTTAGCTAGAGACACCATGTAAATAGAAACTAGACCCAGTAAAGTCCAAGTCCAAGTRAAGTTCAGAGCCAGCATCTTTCTGCATTTCTGGGGCTAGGAAAGTTTTTGCATCCCAAATCTCAACAGCCATTTGCAATAAGAAGAACTTCAGAGCCCCTACATGCATAAAGCAGAGCGACAGTTTTATCCACCAGTGACTCCCGTATTGCCTTTATCAGCATAAATTGCTTCAGTGTTAGTAAAGCACTGCGAGGGGAGGTAAGGTGCAAGGGAGGCCTATCAGGCAGCCTGGGCTTCATCTTTTTCTATAGGAGTGCTCAGAATTTTTATTGTCTACAGCCAGGTAATCCTGGCTCTGTGATGCTCTTTAAAAACTAGGAGGGAGGGAAGGAAGCATAAAATGCAAAGAAGAGCTGGGATGTTTCCACAGTGCTGGTGAGCAGAGGATTGACAACTTTTCTGTGGAGATGTTTGGGAGTTTTTATTATTGTTTGCAACAGTCTATACTTTAATAGAAGAAACCCCCAAGTCTTCCTCTCCACTCCTTGCAAAAGATGCCCATGTAAGTGACTCATGCTTCAAGCCCTTCTTGAGATAGATCCAGGTACCAAAACCAAACAACCCTACCAGTAGGATGGTGGGGTGCCAAGGGACTGCGTAACCTATGTGTCTCCCTGGGAGCTCCTCAAGTGCTGGTAGGATCTTCCCCAGCCTCTCCCTGTAACGTCTGTACTATGTATATTACTCTTGCTAAACCTTATGAGAAAGTTACTCTAAAAGCTGTGGAGCACTGGAGAGAGAGCTTCTGCTGGATTTATTTTCTTAGCGTGTTGTGGAAGAAACAAACAAACAAACAAACAAAAACAGAAAAAAAAAAAGAAAAAAAGAAAAAAAAAAGAAAAAACCCACCAGTTTTTTTGCTGGTTTTGGTTTGTTTTGACCCAGGCGCTGTCACTGCCCTGGATGAACCTCTCTTTCCCTCCCACCTCCCATCTTCCATTATAGGGAAGTCCCTTTGAAAGGGATGCCTTGTACAATTTTATATATTTTATTGAAGATTTATTATTTCTTATCTCTTATGTCAAATTAAATTAAAAAAGAAAAAAAACATGTTTAATCGCGTGTGGGTCTCTGAATGYTTGGAGTTCTTTGAAAGGTACCTTTTCTCCCTGTGTGCTTTGCACGGCTGGGTCAAGTTGAAAGGAATGTTCGGGTTGCCTTTATGATTATTTCCCCTTCAGAATCTGAATTAAAGCCAAATTTGCAACACATGAAGGTGAATTGCAAGTCAACAATTCAAAGTCCAAAGCCAAATCTTTTATGAGGTTTCCTTCTTTTTAACAACCTTTTTTAGGCGCCTCTGTTCTTTACAACATCGTACTCTGGTGAGGTTTCCTTCGTTTTTCTTAGCTCAGATGCTTTTTTTTTTTTTTTTTTTTTTTTTTTTTTTTTTTTTTCCCCAGGCCTCTCCCATCTCCTTTTTTTTTCCCCCATGACTTTAAATCTGTGTTTTTGGGGGAGTCTAGACTGGGCCTAAGCAGTAGGTGAGGGGATGTCCTGTGCAGCTAAGCCATGGCAGTGACCTTGCAAAGCTCCCACACGTTGCACTGTGGGGCTGTATGTGCTGTCCCAAGGCTGTCGGTGCAGCCCCTCACTGGGGTCGCCCTCCTGCCCTGCCCGGCGGGTGCTCAGCTACTGCCCTGTCCCTTCTGAACGTGCCGAGGCCCTGGCTTTGCTCCCGAAGGGGAGCGCAGGGAGGAGAGGAGATCTGTGGCCACTGCACACACCGCAGCCCGCGCCTGGCAGCTCCGTGCAGCGCTGTGATTTTTGCTGTAGGAGGTTTATTTGGATGAGGAAGGACCTCTGGGATGGCAGTAGGATAGAAACACGGAGAGATTCCCGGGGTAGATTTAACTCACTGGGACTCTCACGGTCGGCAATGCACGGAGGAGGCTTCCTCCTTGCTCCAGCCCCGTCCAGGGCTYGCACAGCGCTGAGGGCCGACTGCTGCTTCGGATCCCAGCACTCGGCAGCACAGTGGGATCGTTTCCACACGGGATCATTTCCCCGCGGGATCGTTTCCCCGTGGGCAGCGCCGGGGCCGTTGCGGACTCGACTCCTCCGGCCGGCGCCTCGCTGCCGCCTCCGCCCTCGGCACCTTCGCGGATCGGGCCTCGCGTGGGCGAAAACGGGGGAGTGAAAAATAAATAAATAAATAAATAGATAAATAGATAGATAGATAGATAGATAGATAGATAGATAGATAGATAGATAAAAATCCCAAGCCCGGCTGCGAGGAGACGGTCGGGTCGGGACTTGGCCTGGCCTTAGGGGACCCTTACGGCATCCCGGATCCCGGTGCCTGGCTCCCAAACCAGCCCGCTTAATTTTCCCGCTCCGTAACTTTAAGGAACAAAGCTGGACGAATCTAATAGCCTTGCAGACTTTTCAAATTAGTATTTACTGCCGCATAAAAACTGGAGACAACGGCTTCTTTCTCGATTTCTTTCTGAAGTATTATCGCCTAACTTCGGGGCAGAGCGGAGCCCCCCCGCCTCGCCCCTATCCCTCCCTGCCCAATTGTCCCGAACGCTTTCTTAGCTGGGCAGGGCAGGTTATAAATAAACCAGGGGTATTTTTTAACCTTCAGTATAAATCAGTTGTGTCAGGGATTACAGCTAAATCTTTTCGCTGGAAATTCTTTGAGCGCAGGAGCTTTGTGTGTGTTATGATAGATCCTTAAATGGATACAGATTTATTGCAGAACACAAGGGTGTTGAAGGAAAAGCTTCCAAATCTCGGTTACAACCTTTGCTATGGGAAAGGCAGTGCGGATCCGTGACACCTTCCCCGCGCTTGCGGATGGCATGACAATTCACCCTGCGCCCATTATTAACTTGTTCCAATTAAAGCCTTCAGAAAGGCCGAGTTAATTGAGTATTATATTTTATTAGGAGGGAGGTGTCAAGCTTTACTCATGAGACTTCATCATCGGCCTAATGGGAGCTGCCCTGCAGGCAGATCTGTAACTGAATAAATTACAGCGAGGCAGGGAAATCAGAATGCTACCATTAAACGCGATGCACTTACCGAAATTCCTCCTCCACTTTCGCAAGAGGCTCGGGAGGTGTGGCTTTAATTAGTTATTTTAATGCAAAGTTAAATTGTTCCCAAAGTATTTTCTGACACAAAGCAGATGCGATGATTAGAAGTTGAGTGAGACTGAAAAGAGTTGGCATCTGTTTCAGGTACATCTATATATTTTAAATTTTCCAATAGAAAGTGAAAAATAATTAGGGCAATAAATAATAAACATTAAAAACAACGCGATAAATTATCCCGATCCTTAAAATCCCGACTTGCTGAACGACGGCTCAGGCCAGGGGAAATCGCAGCTCTCCTGGGACGTTAATTCCCGAAGTACGGATTTGTTGACACAAACAGTTAGGAATGGCCTCTCTGGCTCGCTACGGCCAGCCGTTCATTACCGAAAGCCACGGGCGTTTGGAGCCTGCATTTCATGTTGTCACATTTCCTTGTGGAAGCCCGGAATTCCTGCATTTTATGGGAAAGGAGGCAAGTGAGGTGGCTGCGGCGCGTCTGGGAGCCAGCAAGCGCCGGGGTTTGCTCTGGAGCGGGAGCGTCGCCGCGGGCCGCGGGAGGCCGGGCAGCGGCTAGGGGCTCGGCGGGGCCGCCGCGGCGCCGCCCCCGGGGGGACGGCAGCCCCCGGGCCGGGCCCCGGGGAGCTGCTTCTCATTAGCGCCGGCTCCCGCCGGAGGAGCCGCGGCCGCTTCGCAGGCACCGGCTCCCGGCGGCGGGGGAGGCGGCAGCGCGGCGCGGAGGCTCCGCGCGGGAGCCGCCACCTGCTCCGCGGCGGCGGCACGGGGGCCGGCGGACACAGGCGCCCGGAGGGTCGGTCCCGCAAGGCCGGCGCTCGCCAGGCCCCGGAGCCCCGCGGAGCATCCGTGCTCCAGCGCCGGGCCCTGCTCGCTGACTGCTCTGGGCCGGGCAGGGGGACCGCGCACCCACGCGCGATAACGCCGCGCGTGTGTCCGCACGTAGGGCCCATCCCTATACAGATGCCATATGACTGTGAAATGTAGAGGTCTACAGTATCCGTATTACGCGATCCTGGCTAGAAAAATCACAAGCACCCTCCAGAGACTCTATGATTAGCGCACACGCTGGTGGTAACATTTTTTCCTTTTTTTTTTTTTCCCTTTCCTTGGCTGGGGAGACATGCGCGTCATTCAGGAGAAGAGGAGGAGATCTCGCAGGACAAGCAGTGACACAGGGCGACCCGCCCGAGGGGCAGCCCCAAGTCCCCTGTCCAGGAGGGACTTCTGTGATAGACCCTCATTACTGGACTGCGCGGGTCCCCCTCGTAAGGGACGAGGGAGTTCGCGGGGCAACTCCAGTAGATCCAGGTCACACGGACCTCAGGTTTATCCAGACAGGCTGATATTTTCTTTCTGAAATTTTCTTTCTCCCGTTATTTTTTGGCGTTTATTTTTTCCCTGAAATACTATACATCTCTCTCTCTAAAAAAAAAAATAAATTAATTAATTAAAAAAAAAAAAAATCGGCGAGACCCTCCTTTATCTCCCCCCCCTCAAAAAAAAAAGAAAAAAAAAAAGTGCCACTATATTTTTCTACGATCCGTAACTAAACTACCACAAGGATTTTCAAGAGACTTTTCCCGGCGGTCATTTTTTGAAGTTA